CACACCAAGCGATTTATTCCTGCTGAGGATATTTGCTATCGCGAGTATGTTATAATGGAATGTAAACAATGGTATCGTCACCTGGGAAAATCTTACTACGTAACCTATAATTTTGGTCAGTATGCAGAGACAAGTCAATTACAAAATAGCCATAGGGTTCACTAATACAATCAGTATACGCTTCAATGATTGCCCGAGACTTTCCCGGGGCGATTTGTTTACCTAAGCAGGCGACCTGTGATACGTCCCGTGGATTACGTAGCAACACGTTATAATGCGTGTCCAAACTAATCGTTTTGGCAGACTTACCTTGACAAAACATGTTCTGATTTATATAAATAACCGTAAGATTACGATGATGAGAGCCCTGAGTGAATAACAATTGCATTTCTTTGTTAATGCTAACCTGCTCCTTAAGATCGTCTAATATGATCATGTTATGAGAATGATTATCCGTTAACTCATTTAAATCACTCTCTGACGGTAGTCCAAGAGAAAATCGTAAACACGAAATGACTTTTTCCATTTCTTCAAAAAGGGGCTGATATACCCCATAACAATATAATATACGTTTTGAAGGATGGGCACCAAACATATCATTGATGTTTCGAAGCAGTTTAAACAGGAAAAAAGTCTTACCAGAACAAGTAGTACCACTTATTGACATCACTTGTCCATTCAGGTAATGGCTTCTTCTACAGTTTGCACTGTATTTTATCATTGATGTAAAGAGGTCTCATTGATCATATAACAGAGAAGTGATTATATAAAACACTTCTCGTGAGATATAAAAAAGGAGGATGGGTGTTTCGTCTCCATAGCACTGCAAAGGCTGAAAATATATTTACAAACTATATACATTATATACAAATGTTCAAATAAAAAGCACTTGCAGAATTAAATAAAAGTTTCTTAATAGCACTTAATCATCATCCTCCATGCACTCTACCGTGTATTGTGCAATCAGTCTGTCATCATCGTCAAGTTTTGTGGAAACAGTTCGTTCGTTTGCTGGCCTTGATTTATCGATGGGTTTAAGTATCAAATCCAGGAGACAAGTATGGATTCCGTCATCTAGCACACGGCGCTTACAATGAATATAGTTAAAACCACGGCGCTCCTGGTTGTAGGAAAACATTGTGTTATTTCTAGCGCGAAAACCACAATCTACAGCTGTTTTCGATACCTGAGTTTTTAGAACAGATTTGTATATCTGCAGAGGGTGGCGAATATTAGATTTTGAAATCCCTTTGCAGCTATACTTTTGTTGCTTAACAATCCTCTTTTTCGATTGTAATCGTTTTGATGGTAACTTCTTTGATTTCCGCAGCACACTATACGCTGCAATGACACAAGCAGGTGTTTGAGTAGTTACGGTTTGATTAACAATGTATGTTTTAGAACACAGGCCTACAAGTTCATCACCTTCATATTCCAGTTAAAATAATCCTGGGGTACGTTTGTCATGTTTCGCGTGTGCTACGCAGCAGGTACCGGGTAGCCACAAATCGCCGTCTTTTATAATATCATCTTTGCAGTGTCCGTTTAAATCAGTTAAGAATTGTGCCTTCATTTCTGGTTTCACTATTGACATTAAATTTGATCCCGACAAAGACATGTACGCACCATCTGTGTCCATCTCACAATATTCAAAGTCAACACGATGCACATATTTGTCAATAAAATCATAATAGAATTGAAGCATTCGCAATTTCGCATATTGTAAAATGAAAAATCCCAGTTGGATTGGTAAATCAAAACGTATTTTACTTTTAGCCATCTCCACTTCATAGTATTGATCGACTTCATCTAAACAGGTTAATTTTCTAAATTTGTTGTTATTGACAAGAAGACTTGCATCTCGCTGACCTTGAACATATGAAATTTTTCGGTGCTTTGTCTTATCCATTTTGAGACCACCATAGCTCGAATTCCCTACCACCATAGCTCGAATTCCCTATCAATTTAAACGTGTCTGCAATTATAGCATAGCGAGGATCCCTGTCTCCCATACGCCTCGCATTACTTATATCCGCAAAAAAATCGGAAAATGGTATACCGGAACTATATTCCACTGTTTGATGAATATTTGTAACACGCATTCCATGCTCCAAATACCACTTTAGTAGCGGCGAGGACAGCAACATTTTCTCCGCTTTGAGACCCCCAACCAGCAGTGTTCGTGGTTTTTCAGATAATTCATTATTTCAGACATGTTCCTGCATGTGAGATCCGATCACTTTGAATGGAACTTCAGTCGTACAGAATAACGGACACATTTCACTGTAGTACTCACGCGGAAAAAATGATTTATTATTGAATTCTTCCGACCACTCATCTGGAACCTCAATGTCAACTTCGACCATTCCAAAGAATTCCTCGGAGCGTATAGACTCTAAAATTTCTTCTTCACTCACGTGACTCGTGTGTGTGTGTGTGTGTGTGTTTTTTATAGAATTGTTTTTCGTGATTTTATAAACGCTTGTAAACTTTCGCTCTGTCGCCTCATATCACAAAAATCACACTCCCACATTTCGATAACTTTGTATTCACGCTCACGGAGATAAGTTTCGTTGCCCGTTGAGAATGCCACTTTTCACTCTTTATATTTTTGTGTTAATGGGCAGTTGTTATGTCCGTGGAAATAGCAGCCATGAAATTGAAAGATGGTGCGCAATAGCTAGCTGTCCACTGGATACGGTTCAACCCTTTTTTCATATTTCTTATTCAACTTGTGTATGATCCTGATATTGTGCTCCTCGCTCAACCTATCTAACCAATGAAATGCAATCATATATTTTTCTCTTATGATAGGACGGAAGTTCGTTTCCTTCTGGCGACGAATGCACGGCCCGGTCCGACCGGCATTGTTTGTCCTATTGCCCATAGATAGAGTGCGTTGGCATCATACCCTACAATTTTTTCACAAGGCTTCATAATATTTCCTCTAATAAAATTTTCTCCTGGTTTGTCGTGTCGATTGAAAATGATAGACGGGCCCCCGATAATATTGTTTCTCACTGTATTAAATAAATCCTCATCCTGTTGATGAAATAGGGAAAACGAAGCCCCCGCTTTTCTTCCAGACTCAAACAACATTTGTCGTGCTATTCCAGGAACGGACATTGTTACTTTAAAAATGTCAACGCCTTTATCAAAATAAAATGTTTGTAATTTTGCCACCGCCGAAACAAAAGGACCAACATCTAAATTATTGTACCAAATTAAAAAATATTTGAATGTGTTCATTTTTTTTCTCTCCATATTCTCAGGCAAAACGAATACTCCTCACAAGAAATGTTTTTATTTTTTAAGGAACTATACAAATGGCTATGGATAGGGAGGGATTTCATTTCCAGTTTCTCCTCACAATCAAACCATTCGTACGGGGAAAACCCTTTTTGTTCCTGTACTCCGTATGCCTGGAGAAACTTGGCGTATGACGATCCTGACGCGAGATAATTTGAAATGTCCAGAAATTTTAAAGTTTTTGTGCTTATACAGCTGTAGGCGTTACATTGTTTCACTATAAATGCCTTCTTAGATATGCCGTGTAGACCTAAATGTTTCGCTATATTTCGTTTCACTAAATTCAAGTCATACCTGGACGAGTTAAATCCTAGCACTGGAGTTTGCTGGCAATATTCTAAAGTTTTTTGAAGAAGGTTTCCATAAATGTTTTTCATGACGATTTCATTTTCTTCGCATAAATCAATTTTCTCCCGTAGTGAAGAAATAATATCGGACCACCGTTCTTCAGCAAGTAATTTTCACACTTGATGAGATGTTTTATACATAGGCAATAATACATTTGATTAAATTATCCAGATCCGTGTCAACAAAACACTTTGGGTTTTCAAAATCTAGAACGTTTGATGAAACACTGACGGAAATTGGTACATGCTCTCTCGTCCACGACAGTTTGTTTGTATCCTTCTCCGAGGTGTGCGGTTTTAGCATAGCCTCGGAATCGTAAACTACATACCACGGGAAAAAACGCCTTTCTTTGGGCACTATAATGTCATAAACTTCCAAATGATCAAAAACTGAGTCGCTCATTTTATAGTAACCTCCGGTGAAATGTGATGAAGTTGTCCCCGTACACGTCCGCCGGTGTCTTAAGCACTTGAATGATGTTGTAAATAGTTTTTCACATGACTCACATTGAAACTTTTTGGAATAGGCCCGCATATTTGTAATATACGAAAGATGGTTCTCATAGATATTTAAATTTATGACGTCTGAGAAACGTCCGCTACTGGTAAATACTGGAATGACTCTTCCGTCCTCATGCATTTAAAAATGTTAATTCCGATGTTGAAACATATTTCACTTAAATTGACTCCGGTGTAGTTGTGTGGTTCAACATATGTAAAGTCTCCTAAATCTGTTGCTTTTAGGTGAGCGGCCCACTTTTCAAAGTAGAGACGTATAGAGGATTCGACTTTTTTTGACCGGTGTGCGTTGCGAAACACCTGAAAAGACATAAATTGTCGTTGTATGGTTTCCCATTTTGATAATTGGTTAAAGCCCTGATATTACGATTTTCTGTTAGGTATTTAGGTAACAGAGTTTGTCCGGCACCAAGTGGGAAGTTTGTACGATATATATAAATATGTACGTTAGTGATCAAAACGGGCTTCCACTTACTGTTTTCTCGCTGACAAAGCATATCCATTCCAGGTCCATTCCCTCAAGACGAAGGTGAAGTTTGTGATTTACATCTCTTCGTTTATTTATCAATAATGGCTGGTCGAACAAGGTTTCGTTACCATATGGACGGAAATAACGAAACTCTCCTGTTTCAATATTTCGGAGAAGTATTCCGAATGAAAAATTAATGCGGAACGCCTGTTCTTCTTCTCCGTATATCTCATCAACGTTCTGTAATAACTGTTCTGCATTGAAATCCGGTGTGAGCGGAACATTGAAAGTCGAGGTCACTGTTCCTGATGTGTTTTCCTCTAGAATGAGTGGAGCATTCAAATCATATGCCTCCCTTAAAGCTTCATCCGTTTCGTTATTTTTCCTCCACGGAGCTGATCTTCGGAGAATGGAACGGGTTGAAGCTTCAATCCGGAACCCTCCTGTTTATGTCTCATATGATGCACATACAGGGACTTTCGGTTCGTAAAGCGCGCCTTACACATTCTACATGTATATGATTTTGCAGAATCCGAAGTCCCGGGGGTTGGGTTGATATGTGTTCCCACATCGCTAGAAGGTCCGGGGGTCGGGATGGATGAAGATGTTCTCTCATCGCTAGATGGTCCGGGGGTTGTTTCAAATGATGTATCCCCATCTGTATCATTAACTCGTCTCCTTTTCGTTGCGTGATCTGTTTCATCTATGTGGAAACGAGAATGTTGTTTCACCTGTTTAATATTAACGAAAGTAGCCTTGCACTTGTGGCAGCTGTATGTCCGCATCATCAAACTCGGTCCGGTACACACCGGTTGATGACGGAGTCGGTTATAATTAGAAGAAAAGTTTTTCTCGCACTTTATACATGGCAAAGTTTTCTTTTCATGTACATTCTGTATGTGTCTGGCGATATGGCTCCTCTTGTTGAACACTTGAGTGCAGTACTCACAGTGATAAACCTTCAGTTCCCCTAATCTTTTCTTCACCATTTCATTAGTCTGGAGGTGATTGTTACTAGCCCACTCTTTAACATCGTCCGCATTGTTCAAATCATGAAGATGAGCAGAAATTACCTCATCAATAACCTGACTTCCCATTGGTGCCTCTTCCAAGGCCTCCATATCTTCAATCCGAGCCTGGATTGTTGGGAAATGAAGAATATCTAAATTCCCGGCCCATGCTTTTAACTCTTCGATATCAGTAAACAGGTTGGCGTGAGCCATAATAGTTCCATCCATGCTATTCATACTGTACGATTGAGAAAGCTCTGTATACGTTGATAATCAGAGTAAGAATGAATTTACCATACCAAATTCGTCTAATAGTAGGTAGGTCTACAACAATCTCCACTTCTGTACACCATTGTCTGTCCGTGTCAATATGTCAGTATATTTGGATTTACCTGTCAAGATGTNATATATATATATATATATATATAGTAGATAATAAATAAATAAGTCCTTGCGAAGGAAAATATAGAATAAAAACATAAATTTTTCAGATCGTCCGCTAGGCCTTTCTGCCTTCTAGGGCTTCTTCAGGCGGATTGATGTTTATTTATCACCGTTGGTTACATGACGTCATCAATATTTGTATAGTCAACAATTTTAGTGACGTCATAAATAAACAAGCATAGTGACGTCACAAACAATACCAAGACAAAGAAAACATCTACATACAATACATTGCAAAAATAATTGTGCATTCAAGCTGGGTTTGAGGACTTTTATAAACATATTTTCTTTAATTTCTCTTGCAACTACATCGTCGCTATTCAATTTGTAAATAGGTAACACATGAAAATCATCTTTAGAACATTGATGCATATGTTTGCTAACTTTTAAAAATCTTAGTTCATTGACAAAATATATCTATAAAAGTTACGACACTTTTCATTGGTTAATAACCATGCATTATGTCGTCTTTGAAATCAAAGGGTTCCGCTCTCGATACACGTCTTCTCTACATCCAGTTCAATACTATCTCATAAGATTGTAAGGTCTAACTTTCAAATTTTATTTCATTCCCTTTACAAAAATACAAATGTCATCGAGTAAACATATTAAAAATAATATATAATCAAATGTGATGTATTTCAATTCAAAACATGTTTGTTGGATGCGTATTACTAAATCGTTATAAGCTGATATTGTGTATATACGATAAGAGTACGTACAAATAGATGTCATATATACGTCTGATAATATATACAATGGATATTATTGAAATGATTTTTTTTTACTACAGAGCATCATTATGTAATTATCTTGTTATAGTACTGAATAAAGATAATACAAATCTGAACCTTTTCAAAAATAATAAACGGCAGATTTTAAACTGAAACAGATATTTGTCTTGCGATTTTGTGTTGGACAGATCTCGGACTTTATAGATACCCTCTTTGACATCTAGTAGATTTATTCTTCAAATTGGATAACATTACAAACTATATTCAAATAATTTCAAATTGAACCGCGTTTGCTAGGTAAGGTGGACGTTGGACTAGTCCAAGTGTAGGGATGTGGTGGGATAGTCAATTACTGTTTTGTTGTTTACGGTATTAGTTTTTCAAGATTATTATATTAATTCATATATATACATGATATTTTGATGTCTTCAATAAAGCCATATTGATTGATGATACAATACATTTTTGCTACATATCACAAGTATGGTACAGTCAAGAACCTGTCGCCCCCATCCAGTTTTACAATGGACTTATCTCAGGTAAGTGGTTGGGGCCATGCTTCGGATACTGTACGTTCACAGTATACAGTATATCAGGATGAGGAAGATGCGAATTCACATACAGGACAAAATTATAGCTTTACATAAAAGTTGGATTCAGTGGTTCAAATATCAGAAAAAAACTGAGTTTCGAAGGAGGAAAATAAGTGAGATGGACATAGCTGAAATTCGTGGTATTCTGTTAAAAACTCCCATTGTGTCCTGTAAAGACGTGCACTTCAAACTTAAATGCAGTGGTTCTAACCTCAGTGAGTCAACTGAACGGAGAGCTATTAAGGCTGCTGGTTTTACCAACTCGAAACTGCGATATGCGCAGATGATAAGGGATACCAATCAAGTCAAGCGAGTGGAATTTTGTGAGAAACTCATCAGTGTAAATGACAATTTTGACGATGTGATATTTACGGACGAAAGCACAATACAGCTTCACCAGAATAAGAGAGTGTTTTTAGACTGAAGGGTACGCCAATTCCGGCTTTACCAAAACCAAAACACCCCCTGAAACTGCACGTTTGGGCCGGAATTAGCCGCAGGGGACCAACAAAAATAACCATTTTTGACGGGATAATCGAAGTTATCGAAGGAATTCATGCTGAAAAACCGTATCAACTGGACGCCATGGCCTGCAGGTAATGCATATTTCCACTACACGCATATTTTGATTCTATTAATATGTTGTTTGAATTGAGAGAGTGAGGGGGATATAATTACAGTATAACTTTGGTAAAGAGAATTGTCAAATTAAAAAAATATTATTGCCGTTATCACTACAATTGTATTACAAAATATCTTTTGAAGTCCTATCAAACAGAAATGTTTTATATTTAAAGTCACGTAGCAATGCAATTAACAGAATTGCACGGCAGTTCAGTTATAGATTGATAATTTGCTATAATTCGCTAGAATATGTAACAACGTAAATCGTGACAAGTACCTGTGATCAAAGCGAGTGTTTATTAGCGCGAGATGCAGGATTACAATTACCAGCACCAACCTTTTTCTTCCCCCACTCGCATCGCATCCCCAAGATATCACAGGTAAAAGTTACCTTTGATGATTGGCAAGGTGTGTCAACATGTCGCCTTTCATAACCCCTACTTGCACCGCCTCCCTTTGATCGGCTACCCTTAGATCTCACAGGTATTACCTGTGATGACCGGCACGGTAAAGTTGAGGATATTATTTATTAAAACTTTATTAGAACTGATCATATATTTGTTCATTTATTTAACGAATGCCCAAGAATTTTTTTCGGTATATACCAAAACAAAATCTTGGGCATTCTTTATAATTTAATTTTAAAAAAAGGTAGACAAACACGTTGTAAATGCACAGTTAAAGATTTATTTAATTTTTACGTAAACTAAACAATTCCGCTAAAAAAAAAGCTGCGTTGTAATTTTGCATTCTGAAGTGTAAAAAGTAGTTCCGTCATCAGTTGTTTTTCTTTTAGGTATATACGATATATACCCAAAAACATATTATGGGGAGATAGGCAAAATTAAATTATTTCACCTTAATGGAAAAATATCCTAATATTTCAATTTTCTTAATATATGACCAAATTGAAATAACTAAAAAAAATCTTCATACTCTGCCCTCCCCCACCCAACTCCGGTAACAGAGTCACAAACATTCAGTCGATAAGTATAAACTATGAGTAACTAACATAATGCATATTGATTCGCACACGGTACATGTAACAATAAATATGGATTCATTTTTTTATAAATCTTGATGTTACTAATTATGTATTCTATTATATTACAGAAAGCCCTGATATAAACCCTATTAAGATGGTTTGGAACCAGATGAAAAGATACATCGCAAAAAAGGAACCCAAGACTAAGGACCAACTAGAATCGTGCATCAAGGAATTTTGGTGTTCGTGCATGACAAAGGAACAGTGCAATTTGTACATCGAGCATCTATTTAAAGTTGTACCTGTATGTGTTTTGCTGAAAGGAAATGCAACGGCGGACTTCCCGAATAAGCGTTTCCCGGAAAACTCGCGCGGTAAAAGTATAGACTATTTCGTGCAAAAATTAACCAAGTGTTGACTTGTTGTGAACTTTTCCATTAGTATGGTGTTAAATTAACCAATTGCATCACTGGACTAGATAAAGTTTTCGTTCTTACACGATGTATATATACAGTTTGTATCTCGGTTCAGTTTTCTGATTTTCTTAGCAACGTTATTGTGTATAAGCCCTGATTTTATTGAACTCGCAAAGATTTAATTATTTTTGTTTTGGCATTTTTTCACTCGTTTTGGTTAAAAATGATCAGAAGGTTATTTAAGATTTTATGAAAGTCCTTCGTGTGATATCTTGGCTGAAGTAGGCGCCATATATTCTGTGGTTAAGAACATATGAAGGGTTATTCATTTGTCTTTTTTTGACCGTTTCAAATGAAATATATCATCCAAAGAAATCTCAACTAGTAAAAGATTGGAAACCGGAATCAATTTTTTTCGAGTTAATTAAAAAAAATCCTAGATAACATTATCATGTATTGCGACCAGTAAATTGTTTTATCTCGCTTTTATGAAAGACGGCATGGGAGGTTTTTGATATTTTCATCATTATCAAGGTTGGCACTATTTGAGGACTATTGTGATATCTTGACTCAAGTAAGCGCCACATAATATGTGGTTAAGAACTTACGAAAAACTTTTTTTAAATTTTATTATTTGAAAATCAGTTATTGATTTATTTTAAATTGTAATGAAGAATAGACATTGCCTTGATAACTGGGGTCAATGACAGCGCCAAAAAATCCAAACAGCGTTAGATCATGTCAAAAAATTATGGACAACGATTTTTTTCTAGTTACCGGAAATAAGTAGATTACTTCGAGTTATTTCCCTTGCTAAAGCAAGGGTTCTCATTGGCTGATCATTTGTGTCGTCATTTATGCTATAGAAAACTCTTAATTTGAGTAGTTGTTATGTAGTCCATTGATGTTTCTGAGTAGTTTATTTCGACTTAATTTATACTATATCTCCGCGGATGATAAACAGATACCAAACCATGATGGTATCGCCCGGCGTGATGTTTTTAAAAACTATTACACAACAATAATTTACAGCTCCACATAATAGTAAGTAATTTTTCGTTACTCATTAAACGTATCAACATAATACAATTCATTTGCAAAGTTTGAGAAAATTCTGATCCATATTATAAAATTGACTTTTGAAATGATTCAAATCGAATAACCTTATCTCTACCTTATATTGTTATTATAGATACCTACAATCTAATACGTAGGTGTTAATATACTATTCAAACTATGTAGGCTGCGTTTTCAGTTTGTACTTAAAACCAAGTTGAACACGACACACAGATAATAAGTACCAACTTGGCGCCGTTGTCATGAAACATTTCAACAAGGTTAACAAAACAACATATCTGTACAGAACGGACGATTTTTGCTACTGCGTAGCATGGTGTGGTATAATGTAATAGCGATT